TTCTCCCTGATGATCATGATGTCGATGTTCTTGTGGCGAGTCTGGACTGCGGGGAGGGACTGGCAGTGCATCACATTGGCATACAGGTCTAAGTTTGTGCTGTTGATACACAGGAAAAGAGAGGGAGGGTGTGGGTGTCAGGAGTAAACAATGTGCCAACTGACATTACCAGACAGAAAGGACCAAATTATGGAACAAATGTAAGCCATGGGACAAAAGAGATCCTATATCAGGGGAATATTTCATTAAAGCTCTTACCGTAGGAGATTATTTCTAGATTTGACAGATGGTGCCATGGTGTGTATGGTTTCAATGTTACCTATCAGGAGGGTTGAGAAATGTCATAGTTATACTTTAGTGTCCCGGTCTTATTATAAACTGCATGCTTCTCAAAGCTGTGCTTGTGACACAGAAACAAAGGGGTTTGCTTGCCTTTGAGGGCAACACCATTACGGCGAATGGCCATGATGGCATTGTTGATATCATCCTCCGACTCATCAGCAGAGTTGACATGAACCACCTCGAAGTCCACCGGAACGCAGCTAAACCTATAGCACGAGTACAAACAACCACATAGTAAGGCAATATCAGCAGGCAGTAGTCAATACTTTGGAGAGGAATTAGTTTACATCGAACCAACCTGAAAACCTCTCTGACATGATTGAGCAGGTCTGGGCCGATTCCATCTCCAGGTATCAAGGTCACAGTGTGTCTGCCTCCATACTTTGCAGGAGGGGGCTGAAACATTGGCATGTTATATATCTTATTAACTGAACTTAAAAAGGACCAAACTGGGGTTTTTTACCCAACTACAAATCACCTGTATGTTGCTGCATAATAACACATTGTGGGTGTTCATACTGTTCCCTGATGTTCAGAATAAAAGACTAGTCCACTAGCCTAAAAGTAAGAAAACAGTCTAAATGTGCCCAATATCATCAGGGCTTCCCACACATAGACTATACTTGGGCAGGGTGCCCAGGTATATTAACGGCCGCCCAAGTATATTTCGCGACCCATTTAGTTTTTTTTTTTTTCGTCTGTGACCACGACGCCATCTGCGATCGATTAACTTGTGGACAATGATCCCTCGCTCCCTTGCTCTGATCTCGCCTCCTTCTGGCCTGTTAAGTGGCCTGCCTCACAAAGGGTGACTGGCTACCCACATGATGTGGCCTGCCGACATGGCCACTGTCTGTCATACGGATCATAAATCTGTGTGTCTCTGTGTGTCATTCAAGCTCGGGGTAACCTCAGCTCAGGTGAGGTAAAGGACTCTGAGTGTTTAGATAGTTAACTTAGTCTAAGTTCTCAGTGGGTCTCAAACGGTGTGGTCACCATTTATGTAAACACATATTTCCATTTGAGAGGGTAGTGATTGGTCTAATGGATAGTGAGGTGGGCTGAAGATCGGAAGGCTGTAAGTTCAAATCCCGCCAGGAACACCACCACTAGTGTGCCCTTGAGTAAAGCACTTAGCCCTTAGTTACTCCAGGGAGAATGTCCCTGTAATCGGTCATTATAAGTCGCTTTGGATAAAAGCGTCAGCTAAATGAAATGTAATGTGATTATTAAAATATGCATGAATAAATAAAATAAAAAGTTAACTAGGTGAAAAAAGGTAAGATACACTTTTAAAACTTGTTGAGAGCTAAAACTAGTCTTTGCTGCTGCCTCAAAGAGGAGGAGAGGAGAGAGACAAGAGAGGCTGATTCAGGAGCACAGACACACTCATAACTATAAATGAACCAAAAATAAATTAATAAACAAGTTTCAGTGTTTTTTTCATATTGGAAATGGTATGTTATTGGTTATGGCCATGATTTTATGATTATTGTATTAATATAGGTGTTTCCATAGATCTAGTCTCTTTATTTTCCCCTCAAAATGCACCAGATTGATGCATTTAACTCCAAAATTAAAAAAGAAAATCTTACCGGGGG